TCTCATTAATTAAAAGTAGTGATCACTACAGCTTTGTAGATATTGAATACGATTGTTTTATAAATTAAGAGTGATTAACTTGTTTGAAACCAATTATTCAGCTAATTTAGACTTAAACAATAGGTTACTGAACTAGTAAATAAAAAACCTTACATGTTCAATACGATAGAGTATTTCCTTGACATATAAAAGTTTTGCAGGATATCACTTCGAAAATTTAAAACGACATAAGAAGACCATTTATACATTTTTAAGTGATGATAATCTTCGTTGCAACGAAACTGAAAATCTTTCAGCGTTTAAACTATTTTGATCTGACGGAAGAAAAAATCATACTAATCAACATGAATGATACTAGGATGCTCACATTCTTGCAACAAAGTTATATGTTTCAATGTGTAAATACAACATTTATCTAAAAGCCAGATCTTACTATTTTGTAACTGTAACTGACTTATCTTCAACAGATAATTTATCGAACTGTAAAAAGACGAAAGTGCATTGAAACTTATGAAAGTCAGTTTATCAGTTTTCAGGTATTGTTCAATTCTTTTATTAAGTTGTTTTTATTTTAAGTTGTAAAAATAAAGAACGAAAAGTTGTGTGTACACCAGTCAAATTAGATCACTCTACAGTGATCTGATAATCTAAAATATTCAAATCTCTGTTACATAAGTATACAATATTAGCGAGTAAAACAGTAACCACATCTCATTATTGATGTGAAATACAGCCGCTTGACTAAAACCCTACATATTTTTTTTACCTATGTAATCTTTTCTGTTGCACATAGATAGATATTCAGTACACAATATGTCCAGTTAACAAGACTTATATTCTTACTAGACGAAAGAAGTTACTAACTACCCTATGGACAAATAAGTATACATGTTTACCCGTTAAAAATGGTGGAAATCCATAGGTTTTGCTTTTTTTCAAAACCTTTATTTTAAAATAAATCATATTTTCACAGAAATTCTAAATTTAGAAAAAATTCAAGTCTCTTCGTACTTCCTCACTTCGTTTCACATGTAAGTAAACATGAGCAAAATGAAAAACCACATGTTCCTTGCTAAGCAATAATCAATATACTTAAAAAACAAAAACTACCACAATTTTTTAAGTCAAATTAATTTTTAATAGAGAGATTATGTGTTTAATTCTTAATCATTTGGCTTAAATGCTGATGGTGAATATGATGAATCAATATTCACATATTCAATAAGCATGGATATTAACTATACAGTTTGTATCAAATAAGTAAATACTCACTAAATTTCTCAAGTTGTCATCATACATGAATACATTAGTGAACTTGGGATAGACTCAATATACAATCTATTTTTGTAAGTGTATAACGACACTTTATAATAAGGCGTATGTCACATGTTTCAATCACATTAGTGATCATCAATTTAATCGATTTATTATACAAAACTACACTAACCCTAAAATTGTAAAATGATGAAAGTGAAGTAGTAAATGTTACTTGAATATATGTAAAATAGACAATATCTATACGACTATATATTCCATTTATAGTAATTAATGGTTATTATGTAAATGGAAATATTTATCGTTACAAGTTGGATTTTTAAAAAATGGAATTTTAACATTTATACCTACCCAAAATACACTGTATATTAATTCCAACTGTTATCTGTTTGTATAATTGATTACTGATACCAGATGAACAGGCTGAAGAAAGTTGACTAAGGGAAAATTTGCTTAAGAAAAATAAATGAATGATGTTATCGTTATAAATGCAACTAGTTATTTCACTGATCAACCAAATACAACCAAATTAGAAGCACGTATACCAAGCTTCGGACTCGGATTTTCCCTATTCTTAAAGAGAAATCAACAAATGAAAACGCAAAACAGACAGGTTCTAAAAACTCACAAAATGATAAGTTGTGGTTTATTGATAAATTTTTTGCTGCGCATCGATTAAGCTGTCCTTCAATCGGTTTGTGATTCTTTGGAAATCTCTGAAGAAAATTCAACTGTTTATATACATTCAAAAGTATTGATCTTACTCGTAAAATATGTCATCTTTTGAAAATTGAAACTTAAGTTATTTACAATCTACGATAAAAGTTATAGCAACTCAATGTTGATTCTGAACTACCAAATGAATCTCATATGACCATTTATTTTATTGATATTTATCAGTATGGGACTTTGTGGAGATTTTAGTATTTTCACAGTTGAAATCACGAGTCAAGCTAAGCTAGACCACCGCTGAAAACCTGCAGGCACTTTTGTTCCAGACGCAGTTCATTGTTTAATTTTAAACAAAATATGATGACTATCATGTCACTTGGTGTTATTTTATTCATACACCGACTCACTGACTGGTTATTTAACCTAAATTTTTGTACATATTTATGAAAAAGTGTTTATCGCCAATATCTTGATTGAAATAACTACAAGTAAAGATGAACTAAAAACATTGAAGTGTTTGGCTTAAGAAACCACTTTTCCTTAAGGTCCTATTTAATGGAAATATATCTAGCTAACTATTTAATAGGAAGTCAGCCAAATTTATTAAAATGATCAACTACCAAACAATCCATGATTATTATTTTCTAATAATAGTTCATCGTGACGCAGAAAGGATAAAATGTCTAAGTCACTTAACTTCTTTGGCTATCGACATATTAAGGTATTACTAATAAACTAAACCCATCTAATTCTTACTTCCAATTTGTTGCAGCTGGTCAACCACGGTTGTTCGGATAATTGCTGTTTCTTACCAGATCATCCCAATTACTTTCATGTGTGTTATGAACATAGTTGCAAGTACACATATCTGAGCTAACTATCCTAGACTTTCTTTTAAGTTCAATTGTGGGTAACAGTCGATTCTAAAACGCGCTTTATACCCTACCTAAGACTTGCCAGATGAATATCCCTGTATACAAGTGTTAGTATCTATATTGAAACGCAAACCTAATAACTATCGCTTCAAACGCCAAGTTATCAATTAAGTTACCAAGTCCAAACGGTCACTAACTTATTCATTGAATATGAAGTTATTTTCAATAATATCAGCTTGAAATACAAACCCTAAATTTACTCCTATCTAAAAAAGCGACTTATACGCAAAAAGCCTTATAATTGAATTTACCTTCCTTCATTTTCAACTGCTTCCTTTTTCCTCGTTATATCACAAACACAAACACCTACTCGGTCTCATTCTTAGTAATAAATACATTTTATGATATCTTAAGTTTCTATATGCTCTATTTTCCCCATCGTAGTAAAACGATTTATGTTTATTACTAAAATATTGCAATGCTTAAGTTCTCATGATCACCGATCCACAGATCGTGGTATACTTTTATTAATTAGTCACATATTTTGCAACTGTAATTTTATAATTAAATAAAATTTCTGAAGTACCATTAATTTATGAGTCCTGTCATAATTTTGAAAACAGCATTTTCAGCAAACTCTGTTTATATGTTCCTTCGTAGAAAGTCTCATCCCATTATAATAACCAAAATCAAAGTGATCACATTTTGTATTCACCAACCAAGTATGAATGGTTAGGAACAAAAGTCAAAGTAGGAATCAAACTACTTGTTATTAAATAGTAGTATGACTGGGCATACTTATTTCTAAAAACTTTCGCCTAATAATATGAAATACATTAAAACATAGCATCACATGATTTCAAAACTTCTGTGCGCATTCAATATACCATTGACTTTTGGTTTTAAAGACAATATATAATGTAGTACTACTCATATAGTAAATTGCTATTTGAATTCTGAAAAATATGAATAACAAATGAAAACCTGTTGATTATTTTAGCACATCATTCTTTTCAGAAGGGGTTTGTGGGGATTTCAGTATTTTTCAAAATTGACTCATGATTTCAATTTTGAAAAATACTGAAATCTCCACAAATCCCCTTCTGATTATAATCATATGATCACTAGTGACTGACTTCAAGATACATGTCCTGGAGTTCTAGTGGGAAGCAGTGACCAGTGGAGTTCAACCACGTCTGTTGTGAGATAGGAACTCACTGAAGACAATTGGTGAATGGTTGCTCAACTTCGTGGATCAGTTGAAGTTAGACATTAACACCGTTGGATGCCAGCTCAGTGGTCTATCGGTTAAGGGCTTCGGCTCGAGACTGGTAGGTCCTGAGTTCGAATCTCGCGAGAGCGGGTTCGCGGATGCGCACTGCTGAGAAGTCCCATAATAGGACGAAACGGCCGTCCAGTGCATCCAGGTTTTCCATGGTGGTCTAGCTTCAATTGACTCATGATTTCAACTTTGAAACATCATTCTTTTGTCAAATCTTTTGAAATTCACGGCGATACTATATTTTGAAATGTACCAGTAAATAAATGATGAAAAAACTTGCGATGAAGTTCAAAGTTTTCAGACTTGATGCTTTTTGTTGGGTAATTGTTATTTTAGTCCTGATCATATTTATACCGGATTCTTATTTCATATAACTTCAAAGTACTGCTTGATATGTGCGCTCATTTTTATAATAACAATAAATCACAAAATAGTAATTTTGGTGAAAAAAATCTTAATATTTTAGAATTTACAAGCTTTTCTACGTAACCGAATCCAAGTGTAATGAGTATATTTCATGCGCACTACTTGGTGATATTTACTGGTAAAGTAGTATTGTAACCTTTTTAAAATTGGTATATAATTCCCATTTAAACATTAAAATTCGCTGAACTTGTGTTTTGAATTTTTTAAAATTGATTAATTAGAATGCGCCCTGTGGGCTGATAGTGTTGAAATTTTTCGGGGTAAAGAAAGAAATCAATACTTAGTTGTGAGACCCTGAATTATGCTTCATTCAAACTATCATTTAAGATCAATTATTTAACTAAGTAATAATTAATGCTTTATAGTAAGTAACAAATAGTTATACTTTACTCTGAGAATCTTCGAAAAATGGTACTTTCTTAGTAGATTTTATGTAATCTTATTGATGTTTATTGTACCTTAATTTATAGAGATATCATTTATATCAAACGGTAAGTGAAAATATCTCTGCCTTCTAAAGTGGTGAAATGTCAGTATTAAATGAATTACAGAATGATGATAATTTCGGGAACAATGTTGAATTTTCATTATGCAAGCAAAAATACTCGTCTACTCTTTTATCAAGATCAAAAGTATCATCAGAAATAAATGAAGCGTTATCATTATCATCATCACAAATGATCATAAGATCTGTCAAGAGAAATGTTAAAAAACCTAATCAGATAAGTGGTAATACACTATCTGACTTAAATTGTACTCAAAGTTCAAGTTCTTACAGTAGAGAATTCTGTCGTTTATTCACACACACAATATCATCTAAAAGTGACATGAAAACGGAAATAGATTGCGTCAGAAACTTGATAAATGTACAACCTATTACTCCTATCACAAACATATCTAATTCAAGTACTTTATTTTCACGTTTAATCAACTATGCTATTCATGGGCATTTACGTGTATGTCATTTTCGAAGCATTTGTTGGCGTATATTTCTTGGCATTCTACCCAATGATGTAAGTCAATGGTCGAAACAATTAAAAAAAGACAGAGAATATTTTACCATGTTAAATTGTCGAATTAATATTAATCCACATAATAATCACATAAAATCAGATGATCATCCATTATCTTATAGTAGAACAAGTTTGTGGAATAAATATTTCTACTCATTAAAAGTAAAACGTTTAATAGCAAAAGATGTTAATAGAACATTTCCAAAAGTGGAATATTTTCATAACCAAATTATACATAATATTATGATTGATTTATTGTATATTTATACGGAACATGAGAATATTTCTTATCAACAAGGTATGCATGAAATATTAGCACCTTTATTATTTGTTTTACACTGTGATCTAACTGCATTTGAACATGTTGTAGAAATGAAAATTATACCATCTAATTTATGGAATGATTTAAATTATATTATGAATAAGGAATACTTTCAAGCTGATGTTTATATGATGTTTGCAAAAATTATGAGTTCTGTCAAAAATTGGTATCCTCAAACAAAACTATCAACTTATGATCATGACAAAAGAATAAGAAGACGTACAGTTATAGGATTACCAACAGCAATAACACTTTTAAAATCAGAAGCAAATTCAACCTCCAATGACCCAGAACAAATTCGCATGGTTACTAATACAATACAAAACAATATTGATAATAATAATTCTAAATATTTTAAAATTTACGACGACAACAATAACGACGAATTAGATGGAGAGGATCATGAAGAAATTAAAAATGACAGTGAAAGTGATGAAGTCATCGAAAAATTTGAAAAGCAGAATGAAGATGAATTAAAACAACCTGACTGCGGAAATCAACACACGTTTCATTTCGATCAGCAAGAACATTCTAAACATAACTGTTCAGGAGATTGTTTTTTAGAACAAATACACAAACAATTATTGTTGAGACACAACCCATTATTATACAACCATTTGAAAAAATTAGAAATATCACCAAAATTATTTGGCTTAAAATGGATACGTTTACTATTTGGTCACGAATTCCCCCTACAAGATTTATTATATATCTGGGACTGTATATTTGCCATAAACAATAATTTAGCATTTGTTCCTTATATGTATTTAAGTATGCTGTTACGTTTAGCGCCAACATTAATAAAATATGAGTTTACAGAATGCTTAACATTATTGATGAATTATCCAACCGGTATAGATGTAACTTATTTAGTCTATATGGCGTTACATTTGTATAGACCACATTCATATAACAAACCGTCGAATATCTACGATTACTATTCCATCTTCCATAGCATTACTATTGGTGATGACGACAATAATAATAATAATAATAATAATAATAATAATAATAATAATGTTACAAACAGCAAAACCAATGATATATCCGATAACACCGGTTGTAGTAGTAATGACAACTATAATTATGATGTAAAAACTACGAATTATGGCAAAAACGATAGTGATGTTGATAATATTGACAAAATAATCAACATTGAGAACAGCTATAATGATAGTAATAACAACGTCAAAAATAATCCAATATCATCTCTTCCATCATTAAGTAATAAAATAAAATCTAAAATAAAGAATGCACGTTTTAGTAATATTTTCAACAGTTATCGAGAAAAAAACAATATAGATAATCCTATTACTAACACTGATATTATAAAACGAAGTAAAACATTTAAAAATAGGAAACAAGTAATAGATATACCAAAAAGGAGATCATTAGCTGATTTAACAAGTTCAAAGAAATCAATACACACCAAGTCAAATGAAGAAAATATTCGACTTTCAGACATAATGATATCGACTGAAAGCACAAACAATAATAATTGAATGGTTCAATCAAGCTGTAACTCAATGTATTTAAATGTTGAAGATATTGAAGATGATGATGAAGCTGATGATGTCGATAACGCTGACATCTTAATAAAATTAAAAGCTGATAGTAAGCAGTTTGCAAGTTATATACAAAAACATCTATCTGTGACAAAACTAAGTTGTTAATTATAAAAGTGTTATGGAGTTGGACGAAATGGCTGTAACAAACATTTTATCAACTGAACAGTGAATCGACTGGATTTACTGATTTGAAGTCAAATTGTACAATGTATAACGAAGCAACAGGGAAGAAGGCTTGAATATTCATATAAAACTTGAACTGTTTGTCCAAACAACCACACTTGATCTTATTTATTTTCCACAGGATCTACACACACAATTTCAACCCCACTACTTTATATTACAAATGCATAAATGTTTCATACCCACATTCTGATGTAAAAATTCTGCATGAGCAAGAATAATTTGAAATTGACATATTCAGACCTGTTATGATTTTGATTCTACAAAACATATTCTGCATTGTTTCCTCAGTACTATTCCAACTTGTGATAATCTAATTCGGTCATATATTTTCTCTAAAGAAGTGTTTTACATTAAGTCACGAAAAATCAGAAATAAAAATTCCTACTTATTGGGATATAACGAAAAATATATTTGTTATTAGCTTTCTACCCAATGCTCAAACTATCAAGTCCAACCTTGGCATTGATACTTACAAAATTACATAGTTATCCAATACCACCAGCATCAACCAATTAACTTTTTTTAGTCATCGACATCACGATAATGAAGAACTATGAGGATAACAATACTGATAACAGCATAAATTCATTATCAATTATGGGGATAAACAATGCAGTCTAATCCAATGACTAATTTTCATACTTGCTTAATGAATTTACTTTTATTTTCTCTAGTAGCTGCAAATCTTAGCGAAAACCCTAATGGGAAGAACTTATCTCTTTACTGGAAACTCCATGTAAAAAACCTTGATTTATATACTCCATTCCCTTTACTTATTAACACGGTAATACCACCAATAATGATAATAATTACCATGATGATGAGATACTTTTATTCGATCCTTACTTCAATACCAACCAACAGCTTAAACTATTTCATACCTTCCGCATAACATACTAAGTTTTCCATTTTATTATTCAATATTATCAATGTAAATATTAATAACTAAATATTCAATGCATTTGTATGACCATTACTTATGTTTCGATAAGTTATGATCATTTCGCATATGTATAAAATGAATTTAAAACGATGTTCAATAATTTAATCACATCTCATAACCGTGTGGATGGGCCTTCTGAAATAACCGATTATGAACCTAGTGATAATAGAAAAATCAAGTGCTCGGCATTTAAGAATCTCGCTGAATTTGACAAATTCTCTCACACATAAAAAATATACGTTGAAATCATAATGAATCGATGATATCTTGAAAACAAACAATAATATCATTAAAAAATTCAAATATATGGAGCATGAATGGTGAATTGATCAAAATGCTGAATCAAAATACTGTGCAAGCAAGGAATTAGGTATGAACAGATCCTACTCAGTTTTGTACGAAACCAGGTGTTTATTTCCACGTTAACATTTTTGTAAGTAATCGCCGTTATGGAAATATTTACTTGTTCTTACTAGAATTTTTTCACATATGCAGACTGTTACTTTGATAAACGAACAAACTGTTTATCAGCTGTATATAGCCTTGTATTCATTATTGCCATGCGTAGAGTAGATTTTTTCAATTTAAAAACATTATGTGATTAAAAGGCCATTACTTTACTAATTTCACTTAAGGATAGAAGTATGAACTTATTATAAATATGAAGTTCATTAATCATTTAACATAGAAAATTCTTATCACCCCTTTCACAAATATTTTTGAAGGTGAGTGGCTTGAGGTGATTATTCGTGATAAATATTCTATTTGAACTCTAAATTCGGTTTCCTAAGCTCTCCTAGTAACACCCAGGCTAATCTAAACGGCAACTTGAACACGAGAGAAAATGTGCGAAATATGGAACAAAAGTTTTTCTCCAAGGTTCGTTTATGTACAGAAAATCTAGGGTATTTATGGCATTTTAGATGGCTTTGGGTTTCCGGAAATTTCTGGAACGCTACTAAACGCGACATGTGCCTTCTCACTTTCTAGATGTTTCTGGTAAACCTTCCATTGAATGCTGATCGGATAAAATGTTTCTCAGCACTTTCAGAGCCCCTTTTGGCTTTTTCCGAGGAATTTTCTGGATCTCCCTAGTTGATGTCAGCCAATAACTAAAAGATTAATGTCAAGTCAAATTAATGCAAAGAATATTATATTGAGTAAACTTCATACTTAAATAAAATCAATGTTATCCTAAACGGAATATCTCACTGAAAACAAACACACGTGCGAAATGTTCGATTTACTCATTGTTGAGAACAAGAAATTAAAAGATTCAGGTTAGCTTTAATTGTACACCTACAAATAAGTATGTAGTAGAAAATTTCCATTCTATGGACCAATATTTGATATCAAATATAATTAATAAAATAACTGTCTACCACCAGATGTAAAAATGGCTACGTCGAAGTTTAATGCAGACGATCGTTAATCATTCTGCTGTGAAATAAAGGTTTATGAATACTAACATATTATGTGCTGTTATATAGAGTTGTAGCCTGAACAGATGTCCTCCGAGGGATATCCCACATACAAATATTCCCACCTATCTATTAGCGTGTCAACCATAATAATTAATACATAGGTTAAGTCTCCACGTAATAATAATAACACTCATTTACCTAATAACGTTAAAACTCAACAATAAACAGATTTAGTATCAGTATTTTCTGATAGTGGGGAGTACACCGGATGCATCAGATACACATTGAACCACATTGTTATATATAAAGCTCACATATATCTGCATCCACAACCATTTGTAATTCAATACTTCCTGGCCAATGCTAAAAATAAATAACCCTAGTCAACTTATATTTTCGAAAGCTAAACACCAAAATATGACTTATTTTAGCCTAAATCTTTATTAATTTTAGACTAAATAAGAATTTAAACTGCGATTTATTACAGGCTTAGCTTACCAACCCTACATGTATGTTAGTCAGCTTGGTAAATTTGTCAGAAAGTTTCATGCTCTCAAAATTACAAAGTAAATTAATTACGAAGAAACAGACAAAACGCATATTGATCCAGTAGTAGTAACTAACGTCATGCTGTCAAGTATTTAGTTCTAAATGAATTACATCGATCAAAACACGGTGAGGCGATGAACGACATCCATTTTCTCAGGAATGTAAATATTCTTTGGTGACGAACGCAAGTGAAATCGTAACATAGATTTAGGGATTATGTTGATCGTCGCAAACTAACACAAAAATTATTTTATCAAAGCCATAAGGTATTTTAGCCCAATATATTTTAGACGATCTGGTCACATATATATCTACACATCAACTCATTACACTATATAAATTCATCAAAAAGCGTCCTACAATAAAACACCGTTAGAAATAACTGAGTTGAATGCAACAAACAGTACAAGTTTAGGCCTTCGTCTAATAAACTAAAATCTTAATCTTTCCCTTCAGTACACAAACAACCCCATGCTAAGCTTGAATGGTAAGATCCAATATATTTTCGCTGATTAACATCTACTAACTGTCTAAGTGTCGCAATCGGTTAGATTATGTAACCATTTGATGGTAACTTGTAATATCTAAGCTTTAAAGAAAGGTTGATATTCATGATAAAACAAAGATCGAATCTAGAAAAAAACTTTTATCCAATCATAAATCCTACTCACTTTAAAGTAACAAAAATAATCAAGACAAAACGATTTCAAAAGAATATCAGCAGTACCAGGCAAACAATATAACACAGATCACACCATGTTATTGAAAATTTATAAACTATTTTACAAAAAGGTAGATGATATTCGTCAACCCACTAATTTATTTTGTGGTAATTATTATACTACTGATAAATGTAATAATACTATTTCCAATAATAAAAAATGACAAAAAGGACAAAATGAAATCAAAAGTCACCTATAAAAAATAAGTTGTAGAAAAAATAATGTGAAAAAAATAGTGTGCAAGAATAATACTTATTGTCATAGTTGTGGCAAGTAAGTCCCCACTGGATGAAAGATACAAATTTCAGGCAGTATCAAATATTCCGCTTACGAGTTATCCGTACCAATACACTGAAAACAAGAAAAGAAAGAAAACAAGAAATCTTATCATTTTTAAAGTATGTGAAATTAAATACATGTTCCCCTCGGTATATATGCGAACTAAGCTACTACAGTTACTATTATTCGATGACCATCGAATTCCTTTTTTAATAGACGTGATGTTTTATGCTTCTCGATCGTCAATTTACTGTACGGACTACTGGTAAATTGAATTTTGTTAGTGCCTATGTACAAGATTCTAACAAAAACATTTGGAGTAAAGAAACCTGTGTGCGAAAATTTTTCCGATGTTGCTGACACCTGATTGAACAAGAATTGAGTGGTGCTCTCACCAGTAAAACATCGAGATGAAATTACGGAACGAAAAGTGAATGATGAAATATGAAACCACAATGCAAATGAAGTGCTTCACTAAGGAGGAACATTTGAGATAATGGAAACGAAGAAGGTACAAGTTTATTGCCGCTGACGGAGAGTATTTGATGAGGATAAAATTGATTTACGCTAAACTTCTTAAAATGGGTTAAAGACCTTAGCGTATGTATTGATTAGATAGATTACGTATATAATGAACCATGTAGTCGCCTACCAATTAAGTTCCACATTCCGTTACTGCATACATATTCCAATGTAAAACGCTCAGTTCTGCACATGGACTTCAGAATCCTGAAGGAACAAATGGCGTGTGAAAAAATTGTTGGTCACTGGATACCATGGGACTATATCTCCTAACGTTGCTCCATTGCCTTGCTGATCAGGTTTTTAGGTCGAATATGCTCCGGATGTGGCTCCCTAAGAAAACCACCTGCTTCGATCTGGGCATCCGGACAGTATCAAAGACCACACACAAATCAAGTGACTTGTGTAGCACATATGTATTCGGTGCTCCCTTTGTACCAATGTGTTCAAACAAATAAATGGATATTTGAATACTCATAATAAATATGGATCAAATTCACAAAGCAGTGACTTCAATTCAGCATATGTAGTAAAAATACTACATAATGAGTTGTAAAATATCTAGTGGATTGAATGAAGCTACCAAAATTAAGCTAAAACCCGTTGAATACGCAGGCGACCCTATATATTCAAATTCAACGTCATAAAACTTTTCGTGAACTTAAACTTAGGTGGATGTACAAGATCACAAATCAGTCAGTTGTAACTCCAAACAACTGCACAGAAAAGATTATCAATCGTACATTGATTTCTAAGGATAACTTAAAAAACAAGATATAACCCACTGCTAGATTCAGCCGCTAATTTCGATAATATTTTGGGTTGTGCGAACGGATAGCTCAAGAAACATTTGTCTGACCTTACTCATAAACAGTCATTTTAGTAACTGCAAACGAATGTCAGTTCTTTAAAGTACAATGGGTGACATGATTGAGGATCAATCACAATGGCGTAGGTGCATACGCTCTTTGTCTTTCCTTAAACCATGAGATTAAAATTACTTTATACCCTTCTTTCTACGAACTTATCCTTTCTCTCTGTTCATATTTTTATATGCAACCTTGTTTTACATATTAATACCACTGAAGCAACTGTTTCCATGAATTAAGTGCTCATCTTGTGTTAGGGGGATATAGATTGGATTAAGCATGTTTTATGCATGATGGTGTTGCTGCGCGCTGATTGGTTAATTTTAAACCGATCAGCCCGGGCATATTATTGCAGAAAAATCTATAAGCTGCTTATGCATATACTATAAATATATGAACGACAGTTAAACTATTGGTTGCTGATTGCTGTTCACTGTTCACATACTATTATTATTTTGAATACAATTTCATTCCTGTTCAACGTGTTCTGATTTTGGGGTCTTGTCGAGTGTCATCGTATAAGAATACTAAGCAATAGGAATAGCTGGGTCGTTTATATAGCAAAAACCACAACTATAACATCTTGTTGTACTAATGAGGTACGACAACTTGGATCGATAAATATGCGCCTGGTCCTACGCGGTAGATGATTGACTTTGAAAAGTGAATCTAAATTTGCAAATACTTTTTGAAATATCATTACCAGTAGAAAATTAATAGGTGCTTGCATATTAACAAAATTAAATTAAATAATGATATTTTGAATAGAATTACGCCAGAAGGGTTAATAAATATTAACCAAAGAAAGTTGCCGATTAAAAATGGCTACTCCTCGGTGGTTGACATTTAAATATTAAAATGATTCAGTAAAATCTAACTCCATAAAATGTTAGTTAATTATCTAACAGTAACTAACATTTCAATCTCTTAATCAAAATCTATCACATCAATCTGTAATATCTTCTTGACCCTAGAAAGTGGTTGTTTTTAAAAGCCACTTTAGCATCTCCCACAGGCAGTCCATAAATTATAGCCCCGCCTGTATACATACGAATAAAAAAACATGAATAATATAGTCTAAATGTCTGATATGAATTGTCTATTATTAAAAAGTGATAACACGATATAGTTGGGAATAGAATTATATATTTAGTTTCATTTTCCATGCATTCATGTTAACCTTTAGCACTGAGGAATCGTAAGACTTAATCTATCTGCTCAGTGTACTTTTATTTTCCAGACATTCCAGGCTGAAGGTCACGTGATCACAAAATAAGTATGAGTCACGCTTAATACTAACTGAATGTCAATATTATTAGAACCTTAGACTTGGTGAAATGCTGTTGGTCAAGTTTCAATGTAGCCACCATTGTAAGGGACTCGACGGAAGGTGCACAATGCGCAGATGTTATTTAGAAGTAGTTGACAGAGATTCCGGATTTGTATGTCGTAATTTTTAGAAAAATGTATATGTCCTAAGTTTGGTCATCAGTTTGCAGCCTTGATTTGATTTTTGAATGTAAGACTCGATGAGAATTTATCGTAAAGAATGCTCGTTGTTTTAAGGAAATATAATACCTCGTACGCTACCCAACACCGGTAGAGTTTTTTTTGTCTATTTTAGAACTGCAGACAGTGATGAGTGATTCAGACTAAACAACTGATCTAGAATATAAACTGATATATACTTGAATCTAACGATTGTGCTAATTAAGACCAATGTCATAATGTATAGCAATTACTACAGATTAACTTTAATTAAAAACAACTTTTAGTCTATATGACTGAACATTCCAGTTCACAAGAATGCTAGGGAGTTAGAAACAACTGGTAGGATCGTAGATATCAACCCTGAAGAGTCTCAATAATAGGATAAAACATCTCCCTATGGCCCTCAACAGTCGTCTAACTAAGCCTACACAAACTAGCATTAAGTATCTATCGTACATTAAACGATAACACATTTAACCGAAAAACGTAATTGACCTTAATTAGACGAAAATGAACTTTCATTCTCAAAAAAATATTAGCATCTGTTACGTAACCAACCTAATTTAGTGCAAATAAATGAGATATAAAAGGTGAAAAAAATCTAAATGACCAATCTGTATTCCTAATTAAAATATGACTTTCAAAAATGTGGAAACAACACTACAATAAGATTAATACAAAGCATAATGACTAAATTTCAATAAGAATGTATCGAAGTGATCTGAATAGAACACAAATACACATCAACAAAAATGATATTTTCCAATCAATCAATTCTGGACCTATTTAATCATAATAGGGAGGTGGTGTTACATATATCCAGGATTACAATATGAGAATTTAGGATTATTTTTAAAATAAGTTTACAAGTTGAAACCACAAATATTTGATGTGTGAGAGATTATGATGAATAGTCAGGATAAATATATAGGTGAGGGTGTGTGAAAAAGAAATGTATATAATCAGTCCTATTGATGAAATTCGATAGTGTAATAAGAAGACGAAAGTTATCACAATCGTGTGATATATTCTCGTAATACATTTTGAACAATCTGATCATAAATATACTTGTTAAGACATTTTATATAAAAGTACTACTATGTTAGTAACTATAATTTTATATCCTGTATTTTCAAAAGATAATTGACTACTTATTTTGATAATGAATCAAGACTTCAAACTGCAAAATCTGATTAGCTAAGATGTAATAATATATTGTTGAATAAGCTTCACCTTACTAACAAATATAGATTCTGTATGTGCTTAGTTCCAACAAGTTCTATTACCTATAATATGTGTCACTCCCTTTTTCACTATTTTCACTTGATATAGCCTTTGGCTTACATGAGTCACTAACAGTGTTTTAACTCTACTTTTTATTGCATTTCATCTGTCTGATGACTGGTCACTCTTTACCTTTTATGAATGACTAAGACGGTCATATGATCATTTGGCCATGGATATTCAGTAGTTTCAGTTATGATCGTGGGGATCTTTCGCTTTAGATGTTTAATTCAGGCAAATGTTATATTGTCTATCTATTAGCCTTTTAGTAATCTCTGGTTTGAGGGAATGTTCTAACAAACACTTTAATTGAAGTACGAGTCTTAGTAACATTTTGAACGTATTAGTAACACACCAAGGGTCCTGGATTTGCATTTAAACTGGATAAGTAACGAAGCACTGGTCTGCATCTTGAATCATACCATCATTAATATTGGTTTAAATATTGTCAAACGTATTTAATATACATCGAGAAAGTGAATAATTGTATAACTATAGCAAATCTCCTACGATTAATTTTGTCAAGCCCTCCAATTAACTTATTTGACAGTTATCGGAACAGAAACAATTTGTCTGTTTCTTTGTATTACTATGATCACTATCATATCTGTATAAACGTGTACGCTTGATCACACGTGGGAGCCTACTCACATATTTCTCTCTAGCTTAAATGCTATTCGCTTAAATATCGCTCAATGAATCATTGTCTTTCCCACATATAAATGTGCTTGAATCTTATTGATTGCTTTGCCTTGACTTGTTTCGCTTCGACTCGATTTGATTTGACTGAGTCCACCTCTGTATTCGCTTGCTCGCGCACATTAGCCTCTCTTCTGAAATTCGCTTGACGTACTTGTGACTTTGTTATCTGTGCTATCTAATAATAAACTGTAGTAGCTGCTACGTATTGCCTTCCGAACCCATACACCGTCTGGATTTATTTAATAACGGTTATCAGGGTGATTTATAAAGGAAACCTAATAAATTATCTCGAAGCCTAGCCACTACATACCTTAAGCAATTCTAATTATATGACTAGACTTTCTAAAAATAAAACCTGAAAACTAGCAGCCTAATGAAACACAGAAGATTGCTTGAAAAGAATGAGCTATGACAACATTATCTGACATTGTATAATGAAAAAAGCAATGCAAACTACTCTTTTTTATCCCTTTTCTACTATCATCAACCTATTTTACCATAAGAAAGTGTGGAATCTTAGTGAATATCTGCAGTTCAATACGAATTTACAAAACAGTTTACTAATCAATGAAACAGTTCAATTACCAATTATTTTTACCCAAGACATACGCTGAGAGAAAGTGTATGTGTATTTATAACCTAGGAAATCAGCGCACATATTGAGAAGAAAAATCCCGTTCGATAAGTGTAAACACTAGTATTGTAGTGGACGCTACTAATAAAGATGTTTGTAAGTAGTATGTAACGGGACATGGAGTCGAAGTTGCAACAATTATCGGACAGAGTGAGAAGTTTCAGCGAATCGAATAAAGGAGTTGGTAGAACACTTGGTAGCCAGTTTCGAAGACAGTTCAGATTGCAAAACTTTTCTGCTTATTGTCATGTTTTACAGTATGACTAAAACAAAAGTAACTAATAATAAGATTAAATTGTATTCTATACAACAATGACTAACCTTGTCAGCTGTAGATGAAGTTGAACTTGTACTCTCTTGAGACCCCTGAGATGGAATACAATCATTTCCTTTTCTAGATAACTCTTTAACGGTACTGTATTAACAACAATGAAAATACATTCAAAAGAATTAATTTGTTATTTAGAATGTTTTTTCTTTGCATATCAATATTTACAACTAACTATTAGTGATTAACAATAATTATTTGGATATCTTGATTTGGTGAAGAATTATAACTCAAGTGGGTGATTTCGATGAAGTTTTGTTCTCTCAGTTGACTACTTTGTTTATGAATATGTAATTTAAAGGAGACACGGCTGCTGAAATCCTAAATAAACGGATTTCAAAAACGTTCGATAAAAACATTTTACGCAGCTAAGCTCCGAATTGTTTTCTCTAGCTGGCCCACCATTCTGGGATGTGTTAAGGATCAACTTCCACTTTGGGTCACATCAATGTGTATCTGTAAATTTACTTGCTCATGTGGGGCACACAAAACGATCACTTTCCGAACGCATCTCGGAACACTATCCGACTTGGCTCTTAAAAGAAGAATGTAAAACAATTACTACTTCGATACATCGCTCCAAAGGACTATTCTTTCAAAGCAATCTACAGAGTCAAAGGAACTGGATTGAAGGGGGAGTTGAATCACTATTTTATGCACTGCTGAGGCATTGGCAATCAACGAACTTAAGCCTGAACACTGCGTGCACAAACGATTTATCCAACCTCTCATCCTTCCTCGGCCCTAATTTCACTAATGGGTATGTTTCTGGGTTTTTTTTCTCTTTCTGCACTTTTGTTTGATTATTATCGAATTTTTTTAGATTACTGTTTTGTATTTTGAACTCTAATCAGTTATTTTTCTTACCTTATACAAGTTTTCTTGATTATTATTCAATCTATTATTATGACCTTTGTGTTTGTCGCTTTTCTTCACATCTGTCAATTGGACTATTATCTGACCCTAAAAATTGCTTAGTTCCTTACCCCTTGATTAGTACGTAACCTCATTTGTTATTTATTCTCGAATCAACTTATGACGCAATCATTTCTATCCTCCTATAGACATATATTTTACATATAACTATATATACGAATGTACAGCTTAAGTAAATGATTTCGTCGAAAAGGAAATCTTCGCTGAATTCTTTTTTTTCTTATTCAATGAATTAATGCAATCTTTTTTGCTATACTATATCATCGAATACTTAACTGATGAAAACCGTTTTCCAAACATCTGCATGTATCCCCGAATGCCTCACGAAGTTCCTGTATGGTGTCAGTAACAGTACTACAGGCAGACTATATTCACTTTGCTGATTCAAAATGACTACTTCGTCGAGTCTGGGGAAATGTATTCGATTGAATAAATTAAAAATACGTTAAAAGTTGGGTAGGTTTAAATTATTTTAAGGAAAAAATACTTAAGTATTTGTGTTTTAAACGAAATTTTACCTGCTATTCAAGTAATTTAAAGAACAAAACTATGCTCATCCCATGATATTTAGCAGGAAAACGGTCTTATCAGAGTCCGCTCACAAGTATAGTGGTCATTAGATTTCAGAGCGTTTGGAAAACAATCTAACAAACCTATAAACATACAATAGTCTGAACCAACGCTTTATATACGTACAAATGACTGAATTATATTTGTTATCGAGAGGATAATTTTTCATACTCTGGAAACGTTTGCAAGCAAAGTGTTCAATTTTGCGGTCAATTTACATGTATAGACAAGTGGTTTTGAGTATGAACTTCATTAAATCGAAATTCAAATTTTAACTAATAGGAGCGTTTCTGGGATTAATATTATAGTATGACGATAAGCAAAATCATGATCAGTTACAGTTTGTTAATTAGGAAATTGCATGGTTTCATTTGTGTAATTGGTAAAAGATGACGTTGCTAGCACTGACTGTTGCGTAAGTAAATGTTCGCTCAATTTTTTTCTAACCAAGCTCCTCTTACAAAGAAAGTTTTCAGAGAATTAGCCCCCTTAAAGAACTGGAATGTCAGAGCAATATGAATGCACCGTATTTTATGGTTTCTCCTAGGCCGCTTACAACTGTATTTGCATAACATATGTCTTTTATTCAATATTATATCATCCAAATACTACTGTAAACAGATGAAGAGCAAGCCCGATAAAATAGACTCAGATAATTTTGCTTCTATCGCTGTTAAGAAAAACACTTGCCGATCTGTAATCCATTATACACGTTAGCCCCCAAATGCCCTGGTATGGTCGAGAGTGGGGAGAGTCCGCTCTCCCTCTCGAAATACTCTCACATGGCCACGCGAATATATAGCCTCTGTCAGGGAAGTCCTACTCACTGCACTCTCGTGGTGGGGGTGTTGTTTACGAAAATGAGAGGACGAAAAGCGAATTTCCGGCGCTTTAACCGGGTTGGTGGACACGGATAGTCCACCTAGGGGAGTTGGAAAATCCTAATTCCAAACCAATGGTGCACATGGGCTCCAGTATCCTGAAGGAACGAGTGGCGTATGAACCAATCGTTGGTCACCGGCTACCATGGGAATGCATCGCCTCACGATTCCCCACTGTCTTGTGGATCAGACCTTTAGGTCGAAGGCTCCGGGTGTGGCTCCCTAAGAAAACCACCTGCTTCAGTTTGGGCACCTCAGCAGTATCACAGCCCTCACACAAATCGAATGAGATCTGTGTGGTGCATATGTATCTGGTGCTTCCTTGTACCAACATTTATGTGTATAAATAAAATAAAATAAAAATACACGTTTTTTACTATAGACTTCTTCCAAACCGCATGACGACATCTTAACACAAAAGAAAAACGTAGCCACTACCATCAGTGTAAGTTACTGTAACCAATGTGATTAATCAACTGAGGTGCAAAATAACTGTTCCCATAGGCTAGATTTGATGTGTCATGCGGGTACGAAGGTCATAGGACCATATGAGTCACGTTTTGCCTCATGCACATACAATTTATCAATTGACCACATTATAGTTGTCGATTCAGGATGACTCACCATATGGAACTAGACATAATTAATGGACATATGTCTAATTTGGTCCCTTAGCTTAGAAAACAGAAGGAACTTATGTTGTGTCTTATCATGAGTTATCAACAGTTGGTGCCATCCGTGACAAAAGCAATTTTTCTAATTAAATAAATATATGTACAATCTAGTCCAGTCAAAGAAATATCTCAGCGACTCTACGTTGATCGATATTTTAGGCTTTAAGTTACAAATAACGTAACACCTGAATTAAAATATACATCAACTCAAGAGTTGTCACTACAACACACTGAGAGGAAATCACAAAGACAGGAAATAAAAATGTATAAATGGTCATATTAGCAGTAGTAACAGAGGGAAACTAAACACATGCAATACAATTCTAAAAGAACTTTATCTCGACAGGAATATAAGGAATGTCTTTATCCACTCCCTTGTAATTGATTGATTCCCAACCATTGTCAATCAACGGTATCTAATGCCAGATTAAGATTATCTTGTGAAATTCAGCCAAGAAATTCACATTATCCAGCATAACTCAAATGAACTAAACACAATTCGGTCTAATATATCCCTCACAGAAGTCATCTATCATAGTAAGGAATTGAGTTTTGCTATATGAATGATGGTCTCCAAATTTGTTTAACTTGAACGTTGTTTTATTTGGAAAAAAACAGTTGTCATTTGACAAGACACTGGAAAAAATCTAAAAAGATTGAGGGAATTAATCGGTACTACATTAATGCACGTCTTTTTAGTTTCCCAGGTGAAATCAGATAAAGAAAATTAGATTCAGCCTTCATATACCCGATTTCATACATCACTAATTAAAGCATACGATTTAGATTGTCATTAAATAATTATGAAAGTCAGAAAAATTATGATTTATGTAAAAAACTAACCAATCAACAATATAATTTTCCAAATTTCGATAAAGCCTTTTGATACGTTTCAGTGCACGATTTCGAGAACGAGAACATGTCCATCTTTCAGATGTTAACGCTGATAAATCCCTCAAGGTGGTGTTTGCTGACTTTACTTCTGGATCATCAGTCTATAAAAGTATTTGAGAAAGAAGAAGGAAAATATTTCAATGGGGAATTATTACTGAAAAACACAACCTTTCTTAGACAAACTGTATGATTGTTTAACACAAATGAGATAGAATTGAAAACTGTTCGAAAAAAGACCTATAAAAACACCCACTACTACAACTTTGTATCAGTTAACAAAAATCTCTTCATGGTTATCTGTATCAATTAGTAAAAACGATGTTACATAAGGTGATATTTGTGCTTTATCAAAGCAGCTAATTGAATCTCACTAATAAATATCCACTACTTTAATAATGTCTGACTTATGTTTATTATCGATCACTTTTCTGTCAACTTTTACTGACGATATATCATTATCAATCCGCCTACAAGAGTAATTTATTACTAAGACCTTGCATGTATATGATAGGTTTTAAATACCGGTTAGTAAAGATGGACAGTAGCTAGCAGTGGAATCCAAGACGCGCGTTTCTTCCTATTTGGGACTCGTCAGCTGGATGTACCTGCATCTCAGAGTTGATGTTCACTCCTAAACTCGAACGCAGTACCTTTCGCTTCAAATGCCATCGCGTTATCCACTCGGCCACTGAGTCCTGATAGCCACTTGCTTGTGCAATGGGGTGACCAGTTGCAGTCCTAAAAACACCAATGGGAAGATCCAAACTAACAATACTAAGTAGATTTCAACTTCACCCCATTGCACAAGCAAGTGGCTATCAGGACTCAGTGGCCGAGTGGATAACGCGATGGCATTTGAAGCGAAAGGTACTGCGTTCGAGTCTAGGAGTGAACATCAACTCTGAGATGCAGGTACATCCAGCTGACTAGTCCCAAATAGCACGAAACGCCCGTCTTGGATTCCACTGCTAGCCACTATACATCTCTACTTACCATGCTTGTGAATTAAGGCTATATCGAGGCAATACGCACAGTATGCACATATGCCAATTAGAGACTGACCAGTTGCAGTCCTAACAAATCGATGGGAAGATTCAAACAAACAATACTAAGTAAATTAAATACAGGTTGTTGACTTCATAATGACAAGAAAATAATGACGCTAATGAAACATATGTACTATTTACTTTGTACACATTCTCCAAACAAACCACATTGATACAATGTAAATGATAAAAGTCAAATATGAATTGTATTTAAGATACGTAACATTTTAGACATGCTGATATAGAACGGCAGACAAGCAAACGAATGAAGTGACAACTGTATAAAGCACTAGAAATCAGGAATACACTGACAAGGAATAACAACGTGACTTAGTTTCTGCAAGTCATGTAAGAAATACAGGAGGTGGATCGACACATACATACCATTATGTACACAAGTATAAAATGTGATCAGGGTTAAAGTTGAGTAATTGATAATGGCAAATAAAGTGACAGGACTGATGGGAAGATTAAAGTAATTTGCCCGTCTAGAAGTTAGGGTAAATCATGGTGTGTAATAATAAGCATTGCTACATGTTAAAAGTAATATTACTAGTCGTGAACGTGTTTTGCAAAGGATTTTAATTTAAGAATTGGTCTCTTACGAGTAGATCCACTTGTTGACTTAGAATACACAGATGATATAGTTCTGTTTCGTGAAGATGCTGACAAAAAGTATTCTTGTGATAACCTTAAGCAATAATTAAGCGATGTTTAGAATGGATTTTCCTCCTGCATTTAAGTGCGAAATGCTGTTTCAGGCCTGTTCATATAAATGCCTGAACCAATAGAGAGTGAAATAGTTGAGTCCAGTGACAATTTCATTAATACTGAAAGTCTCATTAGCCCTAGTGAGTTGATGTTCATCAAAATCTCGGTCAGCCTCTACCAACTCACTTCATTTGCGACGTAGGTGAAATGTTCATCTGCCAGCCAAGGGGGGAGTATACTGCCTAGCAGTTCGCTTTGTATTACCTTATGATTCTGAGAAATGATCTATAGAAGTAGGAGAAATGACAGGTTTTTGATCATAAGCGCTTTAGAAGCATAACTTGCGTACCCGAGTCCCCAATGCTGGTTGGATACAGGGTATTAAGCAGATATAGCAAATCGATTGGTGAAGTTGTAGATCGTCAACGAATACGGTAGTTGAGAGACATGTGTTACGTATGTCTCACAACCTCCTACATCGAAGTTCAACGCTAACTGGAGTAAGAGTAGACCGGAAGAGACAATCAAACCAAAACTTGGGATTACAGAATGAAGTTACTGACCATAGAACTAAATAAATTCTACAAGACTAACCATGGTAATGAAATATTTTCTACCGTTAAGAATAACAGATGAATATGAATCTTGACAGTCTTCATTTTCAATTCTTTGTATTTTACTAGGACAACTATTTCGTGAACTTGAACTCCCAGTATTCTGAAAGCACAAAACAAGAGTATGAACAAGGTTAAACAACCTAGAACTGTTCGTGCTACCAAGATACATAAAAGCCTGTTGACGAAAATGTGAAAATTTATAAAGGAAATATAATTTTAAGATGGTTCTCATGATGGATCAATACATCGCTTGGAGAACTACCACAAACTTCAGTATATTAGGGGCAGCTCTTTCGTTGTAGTTTCGAAATCATTAAAAGTACACACAACTTCAAACACAATGCCCAACTAACCAATCGCATAGGATAATAAGAATTGATTGAACATGGACTGTATAAAATTAACTTGCGACAGACTGATTCACTGAGAGGTTTGAAGTCATTACGTTTAATTTTGTGTGAAGTCATGTACATACACAGTGGTTTGGAAATATTAAACTATGACAAAATAGTGAGTAACGAAAGGATTATTTTCAGTTGATCTTCAACTTTGACAAAAACTATATTCAAAATAAAGATCTTTAGGTGATATATGACAGTTTTGTTTTATAGTTTAAATCATAAGTCAATTATAGCTAGACCACCATGGAAAACCTGGAAGCACTGGACGGCCGTTTCGTCCTAATGCGGGACTCCTCAGCAGTGTGCATCCACGATTCCGCCTCGCGAGCGCTTAAACCCCTTCTGCGTTTTATATTTTTAATACACAAATCATTCTTGTAAGTGTATTGAACACAGAAATATAACGTGATTTGCTATCTTTAGAAATAGGGTTCCAAAGTCCTACATGTATTTCAGTCCAAAAAACTGAATAAGAGAACTCCGAATTATTTATACACGGTAAATGTATTATATGAAGCAGAAAAAAGTGGTTGTGAACTGAAATGATGATCAGTTTGGAAATTAAAGTGTTTGCTTGTATCTGAAGTAAATATGAATACGTAAAGTGAACTCGATCAATAATAAATAAAATGAGCTAGATTTTAAGAAAATGTATACTGATAAGCAGTAAAACGAATGGAATGTACCATAAAAAAATCGAGCGTTTAGTATCTTACACGCTAATTGGTGACCGCTGATCCCTATGGTCGTTTAACATAAACAAATGTATCTCCCGAACAAACTAAACAATTGTTGAAAACTTTGTAAATACGATTGTAAAGTTAGGTTACAATACGGTAAACACCATCCGTCTGTGAAGTCACTGACTTTTGGGATGAGCTGTGTGGGGAGATATGAATTTCATGGTTGTTGTCGACGCAATTGCCGCGAGCAGTGACTGGAGAGTTTGGGTGGTATGGCTTAGAACAGGTCACAGGCATTCAGGTGCATTTACTTTATTGTGACACCAAATTATTTCATTCTTTTTATTCCTCAAATTTCATCCTCCTCTTTGAAACATATTTTTCAGTGTTTAATTGTCTTTACGATCACAGATACTGCTATCATTTTGACCCACTTGTTATTCACGTTAATCTCATCCTACTCTGTTTATGTAGTATGGCAACCTAGGTTAATGAAAGTTTGTGACAGGCTTTATTTTGATGATGAATATAATAAATTAGCATACTTTTCAAGGGTATATTACATTATGAAAGGCTGTCGACTGAAAAAACCCAGGAAGTACTGAATAGCAATGCCATTCTAGTTCATGACTCGTTAGTAGTACGCGCTCACATTCCCACTAGTGAGTCTGATTATGTAGAAGCCAATTTTCATTATGAACACCCCTTGTAAAACCATGTTTAAAATTTGATAAATTCAACCGAGGTCTAATTCATCAAATATAATATGACTCTGGTAAACAACTTACTATTCGAATATTCGAATGATCAGATAAACTAAGTGACAACCTTCTAGAACTTATTCCGGTGGAACTTGCTCCAAAAGTATGGGCTGAAAGCTTGTGATCAGACTTTGCATCTCTTGTCGGACAAGAGCAACAACGAACACGTATTTTGTCAAGGCCAAAGATTGTGAAATTCTCTTGATTAACTGACTCACTAGAGCAATCAGAATATTTATCATGAATTAAAAATAAAGACGATATGACTTGACGAAGTTATAAAGTTGCCTTGATAAAAATTAATTGTAAGTTAAATAAATAAAACATTTTATAACGTGGAGTTGTGGTATGAACGATAGCTGTACAGGACTAGCACTGGCCAGTCCATCACGACTCTGATGGAGTTCCATATAGTATGTAACTTGGTGGGTCTATATGCCATCAGTTATGATTCAAAATTGATTCCAATAGCGATCCTTTCGCCGTTTCCTATTACACTCTTCGTAAAAGCGAAACGAGTTTATCCAACTGAGTCTTCTTTTTGGTTGTATTTTCAACTGAACTGTGTCTCTCGGTAAATATCATTTTCATACATTTATTTATTGGCTGTACGAGCTATTTCTTCTTGTATTTATTTGTAAATGATCGCTTCATTTCTGTAGCCTATTTTTGGTCCCCTATTGTAACTGGGTTTACATGCTTAAATAAATAAAAGCACTAAATTTGAGTACAAATTTGAAGAAAGACTATCAGGATGATTTGATCTGACCTTTAATGAGAACTTCTGGTATGGTGATGTATCAAACTGCAACTATGTTTCAACGACATCGATACTCTTTGTACACAGATATTTTGACAATAGTCGTAACTGTAGTTTAGCGAATAAGATTGACATTTTGTTTACCATCACCTACACGAGTGGTCGTTTTGTAGAACCATACGGCTCTAAATGATGGGTTTGCATTTTGTGAATATAGCAGTCTATAAGCAAGTAAATCAATTTCGACAATATATTTCTGAGCTAATCAGTAATGAAGTTGATCTAGTAACGACCCTGGATTTGACATCATTAACCACACCAATGGTTTAGCAAACAGCAGTAAGATTTGGAAAGTAGAGAAAAACGTTATTCTCTAGAAAAATCAATGATGTTAAGAGTTATGTATCACCACACATTATAATTTGAACAAAAGTTACGCATGATATTTTGATGAACAAAAAGTTACTCGAGAACAATTAAAAAGACCTTGCAACTCAAGTTAATGAGGGATACCTAGATCTTCACTATTTTTAGTGTTTTGAAGACATTTTAATCATACTTTAGGATAAAACTGGTTTTTATCCACACTCATTTTAAGAACAGATGTTCAGAAAATCGTCAGAGTTCATAGATATTTGTTGATCTATACATTATATTTGACATTATTTCAGCATACCTTATTCTGAAGATAAGCGCTAAACAGATTCAGTAGTTCTGTTCGTTTCCAGTTAACAGATCGTTTTCATATACCAGGAAACTTTCACACGCACATTCAGAATGACTCACCAGAAAAGCATTGATGTCATGTTGCAAATCCGAGGTCGTACCTTAATAGGAAATAAACTGCCAATAACATACCTCTATTATTAAATATATATTAGTTGATATGTTTAATGTGGACGTCTGAAATAGATTTCCTATTTAAGGCAGTACATTAAATTAAAACTATCTATGTGATTCGACCCATGAGAATAGCAGACTACACATTTAACAGAAAGCTGAAAAAACAAGGACGAACTTTTAGCGTGTAGAACAAAAAAAACGAATTGCAATTCATAAAAACCATAAAAACAAAATGACTCACTCATTCTTTGCTTCGAGAGTTATAACTAACTCAATCTCACCTCGAGCTGTTAAACCAAAACAACTGTTGTAGCAGCTAAGTCTACAATACAAAACTCCTCTCACCTCTGGTAGTAATGATATATCCGAATCGGCAGTGCTAGGTGGAGCTTCTGATTTGGAGTGAAGGAGATGGAGCACATCAATAGGTGTGCGGACAGTGATTTGGTCACGCGGGCAATTTGACAGGGTACTGCCCAACACATACTCAGAACTTTCTCCAAGAATTTCAATAAATGATTTCCCCTTTGATATGTAGCTACCAGATGTCTGAATCTCGTGCTTTTTGCATCTATAGTATAGAATCAAAAGGAGAAATTCTCAAACCTTTGAACAACTTCACCACATTTTTCTGCATACGAAAACAGTGGTGTAATTCGAATCCAAAAATCCATAGGAGTTACTGGTGGTCGGAAAGAAAATGTAATCGGCCAAACACGCATAGTAGTGACATAAACTTTTTGTATTGAGTTTGTTGTAATAACCTAAAGAAAATGTTTACCAAGCTTTACCTACTTGATACGAGTAATGACGAGATCTATTTGGTGGTACCTCAGACACCCAAACCTTATAACAGTAAATGCCAGAAAATGGTGCTCTGTTGTTATAAAAGAATGAATGGATACTTACAGACTACTATAAGATCTGTTTAGAAATTGCACAATTGGAGCTTTGGACATAATCTAAGAAAGTGAGGAGTATCAAACATTTACAACTCATCTTACCGAACTGCTACGAATAGCCTGTTCGACGTCCAGTGACAGCTCATCGTTATTCTCTTTATCATCATCTATTAATTTGAATTTCGAATCCATTAGATCTGATTACGCTACGAATGTTAACAAATAAGGTTTACTCAATATTTGCGGTAGTTAGTGAACATAAATATAGAGTCATGAGTCAGAACATTCCATAAAAATATGTAAAATTATCAACAAGGACTGTTTAAAAAAGAACTCATTTTCAAGACTTTATTAGGTTCGTTCAAAACGCTTTGTTCGAAATATAGAGCGAGTATTATAATCACTATTGCTATTAATGGAATTATTCTTTATATTTTTGGTAAAACATAGACTTCTCAGCCTAAGAGAAAGTGATATTGATGACTGCGTAGATATATACATAAGTTAAGAAATAAAACGACCCGAAATTAGGTAAACTGTTTTTCCAAGCATATTTAAGTTTGTAAAATCTTTTTATTTAAAAATATCTTCAAGAAAACGAGTTACTGATTAGATCAATTCTATCGAGCCTTACATAAGGCGATGAACATCGCAAAGTTATGAGTAAAACTCTAATCAAACCACTGATAATCATAAAAGGTACATTTCCAAAACTCTGCATGTTAATTGAGCATATGCTAATTAAAGCAATGCGATACTCAATCGTCTTTTAGGATGTATACTAATATCTATACATCTGAAGTTAATGCAATTTATAGGAAGTTGAAATATTATTATCCACTGAGCTTTAGGAATACATGAAAAATTATTAATCAGACATGAAGTTAATACATTTAGTGTAACCTATAATTGTTACTGGCCATAACGAGGAAATACAATACAAAATACACCCTTCGCTTTTAAGCACCCACTTAGAAACAGACCTTGAAGTATTAGTATGGTGACCTAATAAAACAACAAGAAATGGGATACTGTACCTTCATTATGACGCTTCTAATGCTATTAAACCGTGTATTGTAAGACAGAAGACTCGGATTCGACCCCGTATTCTACGTTAGGATAACGGAAATAGGTTGAGGTGTTTCAGTCTGTCTTCATAAAATAGACCAGATAGACCTTTTACCATTTTAGTCTCTCGGCTTTGGACTCGTTTCAGCATATCCGCTTCATATTTGAAACAAGGACTCGTTGCTTTAATTCCTTATTCCAAATGTGGTCGCACTAAAGTCAGGTATAATAATCCAAACATTTCCTCATCAAAATACTGGAAAGATCTACGAATAGACCATATTACCCTATAGCATTTTGCAGCAGCAGCCTTACAGTGACTGGTTGTTTTAAGATCATTGATTAGTATGACTCTTAAATCTTTATAGTTTCTTACTTTAGGTAACACAAATCCACATATTGTTTAGTAATGCGAATCATCGTAGTCATATAGTTGCAATACCACACTCTTGTTAGGATCCACTTCCAGTGATCACCCGTCCATCCATGCCACTAATGAGTTAGGATCATCCTGTAATACTATTTTACCTGATATGCTGTATATGGGTCTCCAAATCTTTATGTCATTGGCGAAGAGTAGGATGGACGACTTAGCTACGGTTGATAATTCACTTACATAAAGTAAAAAGAGAAGAGGACCGAGCATTGTGTCTTGGGGAACTCCACTTTTTACAGGTTCCCACGATGCGAGAGCTCCATTAACTCTTACCCTTTGTCTCCTGTTATGAAGAAAGTCACTTATCCAGTCTTCTCTTGCAATGAGAAGATTTGTCAAACATGGTATGCTTTTCCAAAAACCATGTTGTTCCCTGGATAAAAGATTACATCCTTACACATAGTTTATAACAGCCATCCGAATAAATTTTTCCATCATTTTTACAAATGCACTAGTTAAGCTAACGGATCAATAGATACTACCTAAATCTCTACTCCCAGCCTTATACACCGGACTAATTATCGCGTCTTTCCAGGCTCTGGGCAATCTGGACTGCCTCGCTAAAGGTTCAGCAATCACACCTGTTGGGGCTTTCATAATCCTAGGATGAATATAGTCAGGACCACTGGACTTATCAGGTTTGAGATGCTGAAGTAGTCTTAAGACAGTAATTTTCTCAATAACTACACGGTTCATCAACAAGCCACTGTAGAACATCAACGTTGATGTTCTATGTCGAAATGATTGCGGGCCTACTAGAGTTAGACGAGAATGGTTACGAACCAACTAACGCTGAAGTCACACCTCGCGACCAGCCCTTACGTGGATTGCCCCCATCGACGTAGCAAGGGACCATGGATGCTACGGAGACTGTACAACACAAAGGACGTTATTACAAGAATATATTAGTTAAGGTACAACCACGAAAGTACAACCACTGCCGCGTGGGCCAGTCCATGGCGTATGATTGATTGATGCGAGTTGACTATCCTTGACCTTGACAAGCATCGATGACCTGTTCGATATTCAGTGACATTTCACTGACCCTACACCACCATAATCACAATGAACTCCTTTAGGGTTATCTGGTAAGATGCTACAGATATATTCTCCGAGCTTCTCTAAACCATGTGAGTGTCTAATTTTGGGATCTGGATCGTTTAACGCCAGCTAATTACTCACAATAATATTCGATGCGATTAAATTCTTCTAAGTCACGCTAGAGTGGAGTTCAGCCTTAATATCAGAGTATAGTAGTGTATTGTGTAACTCAGAATGCGAGTTCACCAATGACTTGCCTACCAAATGTGTATTACTTTTAGCTTGTTTTCTCTTCTTTTTCTCCATACTGCTGTCCATTTTTGATCGCCCATGACAGGCACACCAGGACTATTTGGGACGGTGACAGTTTGATCCGGGTCTTCAATTTCCACTAGAGATGCATGACTACATTTTATAATTGTTTTATATACTCCTCATTACGACCCAGCTATACGTATTGCTTAGTATTCTTGGACACCAAAACACTCTACAAGTCCCCAAATCAGAACACGGTTGAACATGGGTGAAATTATATTCCGATTAACAAGGATAGATGGAAGTAAGCGCGATAAGAAATACGTTAGTATATTTATAGATTTTACATGAGAAGATTCTAGAGTCTTCTTCAGGCATCGACTAGAGCTGATTGAATAAGAATTAGACAATCAGCGTGAAACAACACAACGTGCATGAAACATTCTTTTATTCAATCTATGTCTCGCTAACACTACCCATGTCACCTAAAATACTCCACCTCTTCCAGAGTTTTGCCATCAAGTGTGACGGGCTTGGTGTTCACAGTGTTGTATTTGAGGGTTTTGCTTTTTCATTTGTGTATACTGAGACCTACTTATGCGGAGATTGTTGATACACTAGTTGTCCTCAACTGCATTTGTTCATGTTTATAGCATAGGAGGGCTAGGTCATCTGTGAAGTCCAAATCGTCTACTTGATTCTGAGACGTCCATGGTATTCCGTTCTTCCCATTAGATGTCGAGGTTTTCATAATCCAGTCAATCACCAGAAGAATCAGGAAGAGGGAGAGTAAACAGTCTTATCTGACTCCTGTTCTTACTGTAGATGTATCTGTCAGCTGTCCTTTATGCATGACTTTGCAGTGTATTCCGTCGTATGAGTTCTTGATAATGTTGGCAATCTTTTCAGGAACTCCATAGTGTCGAGGAAGTTTCCATAATGTTCTCCTGTCCACGCTGTCAAACACCTTCTCATAGTCAATGAAGTTGACGTATAGTGGTGAGTTCCACTCAACTGATTGTTCAACGATGATCCGTAGTGTCGCAATCTGGTCTGTGCACGACTGATCCTTACTGAATCCAGACAGTTGATTTCGAGGTCGAGCGTATACTGCGTCTTTCATCCGGTTCAGCAACACTCTGTTGAAAACTTTTCCTGGTACTAACAACAAACTGATACCTCTGTAGTTCTCACATTTGCTCAGATTTCTTTTCTTACGTATCTTGATGAGGTATCTTTCCAGTCCGTTGACACTTGTTCCTCCTCCCGAATTTTTTTAAAATAGAAGGTGAAGCATGTTTCTTGTTACCTCTATGTCTGATGTCAGTGCTTCAGGTGGTATGTTGTTGGTTCCTTCTGCTGTCCCACTCTTGATTCGTCTGATGACCATCCTGATTTCTTCGATCGTTGGTGAAGTGACATCTATAGGAAGATCTGTATGTGCTGCTTTTACGAGCGGTGGATTCACTATGGCTTGCCTGTTTATATTTGCGAATCTCTCACCACTTTTCTTCCTTTTCTCCAGTCCATGTCGTCTCATGATACCTTCATAGTCAATGTTGTCGATTTCGTCTTTCGCGTTCAGGTCTCTCATAAGAATGATCAGGTGTTTTTGCGGCCACTTTTCTGTAGTAAACCGCAGCCTCTCATAAAAATGGTATCTATCGTCGTCATTCTTATTATTGTCGGGTGTATAACATTGGATACTTGAATGCTTTTCATGACTCTGTGGACTGCAACAGTGCAACCCTTCGAGTGTGCGAAGCACTTTCAGCTTCACGGTCAGAGTATAACAGCAACTCTCCCGTATGTAAACTTCGCTGTCCAGCTTGTGTCCAATGGGTTTCTCCGATTTGGAACTCTGTTAAGTTGTGTCTCCTCATTTCTGTCGCTATTTGACTGGCCCTCCAGGTCCCTCACATTGTCCGGACCTTCCATGTACGTGCAAAAAGTGCTGCTTTGGTTCTTAGAAGGGCTATAGGTTTGATGAAGTGCATTATGAAACGTCTTATTTCTTTCTTCAATTCAGAGGGCAGAGTTTAATTCATATAAACTTGTTTATTCTGGTTTATACTTTTTAGCAAGGTTATTTTTATGCAATGGGGTTGTGATGACACACCTAACCATCCTCTATTCGGGCTTGGAGCAGTCAATAACCCTAAGAGAACTACTGGTGGACTTATTATGATGTGAACAAGAAATTAAAGTTGACCAAAACAACAGCTTATACGCAACAAAAATCATTACATAAATTAAATGAAATGGTTAAGAGTGTGAATTGTGAAAAAACATCCAAAAACCATGTCTATACTATTATGTTAACGTTGTGTGTCAAGCAGTTTATTTATTTTATTTATTTATTCATTATTAGCTTCACTTAATATTGTATTATTGGTACAGTAAATAACTCTCAGAACAAAATATTTCGGCGAGTTTCCATTTTTTATTTCTTGGTCGATAAAAATTAATAACAAATGATCTCTATTCGTCCTATAAACCTATAGTTTGCCAGTGAACTAATGAAGATTGAGACAGTGAATTCATAGTCATACAGGAATATTAAAAGAGGGCAGGGAATTATGAATAAGAATAAAGGTTACTGTTTTTGTAAATTATGTTGGCTTTCGTGTTAAAACCCCCAAGTTAACATGTCAACTCCAAGTCCTGTCATAATATGTCGTTCATTTGAAACTTCTGTCCTCCTGTTGGTAATGATAAGCTAAGGACTGACTGTTGTTCAGTGAAACACTAGTGTATTGGGTGTGAAGATTGTTGAACTTTTAAAAGCCTGATGCAGACGTAAACGCGAGAATTGACGAAGCGACAATAGCATTCCTACAACTGAAGGACATAGGGAACTCAAAACAACTGCTAACCAATATCAAAGTCATAATCTTCAATACGAACGTCAAGTTAGTTCTACTGTATGGATCTGAAACCATCCGCAAGAACGTACGAGTATTTTGAAACACTTTTGTATGCCAGATACTCAACATGGACTGGCCGGATACTGTTAGCAACAGCCCTCTGTGAGAGAGAACAAACCAGCTTCCATCTGGAGAGGGAATTAGGAAAAGACGTTCGAAGTGGGTGGGACCCACGTAACGTAAATTACCAAACGGCATCACGAAGCGAGAGCTAACCTGGAATCCTGAAAGGAAACGGAGAAGA